GATCACCACAGGCACCACTGATGCCTTTACTTTCCAGGCTCTCTCCAGCTCTTCCTTGAGCCCCTGGTATTTCTCTAGCTTCTCGTGTTCCTTTTTCCTGATATTACCATCGCTTGGTATTGCGATGTCAACCACCACGGCTCTGCTCTGTTTCTTATCCACCACCACTATGTCTGGTTGGTTCGCCATCACCATTCTGTCAGTCTGTATCTGGAAGTCCCACAGGATCTTGGCTCGGTCATTCTCCACAACCTTTGGAGGTGTTTCCCACCTTGATCCTGGGGTTTCCAGCCCGTACTCTGCACAGATGTTTCTGTACACTATGCCCGCCAACTTGGTTATGTCGCTCCATGTATGCTTTCCCTGCCAGCATCTTACACCCTGCAGTTATGTGCTGGACTGTCTCAGGAGCCTCTTTGCACAGTCTACACCGTGGGTCTTGTCTGGTGTGGTAGATCTGGGCCTCTATTGCTCGAGTGCCCAGGGCCTGCTCCTGAGCAGCCAGGATCAGTGCCTCTGTGCTGTCCTTCAGACCAGCCCTCTCAAGCCATTGGTAGGATTTCTTGATATCAGCCACTTCAGTTATGCTCCGGTGGTACGCCCCATGTAGGGGTTTGTCCTGCCATGATGGTCCCTCCAGCACCTCTTCCTCTGGACCCCACTGTCTGAGACATATATATATATATATATATATATATATATATATATATATATATATATATATATATATATATATATATATATATATATATATAAAATCAAATAAAAAATAAATAAATAATAAAAATACAGTAGTAATAGTAACATTGACCAGAAAGTAATTTCAATTCAATCACATTGTAAGTGTGCTACTGTGTAACTTTTCAGATAAAGGATATGCCACCTGCTTGTATCCAAGGAGGTGCTATTGTCTTGTCAATAATGTTCCACAGACTAATATTAAACTTATCTATCTCCATTGAGAAAAGCATGTGGGGCCCCAGACTCATATTATTCAAGGTATTTTTGACCAATATAAACTTGTAATTAAATAAATAGTTGCATTTATTGGCTTTTTGTGGAACATTCAGGCCATAGCAATAACATCAGTATTGGAGATAAGCGTGCTTTCCATTACACAGTTCATCTTGAACTTTTACATTTTCTTTATATCAATTATACTTCTCTCTTTGTTTACCTGAAAGGCCTTTGGACCTACTGTAATGTGAACGTAATTCCCAGTAATACAGATTCAGCACACGGCCACTAATAGACACAAGTGCACTCCTTCACAACCACGTAATGAAAGCATTTTCCAACTCTCCAGTTTCAACCTCCATAATAACTTTCCTGGCATGCCTGTTCCACATTCCCCCTCCTTTTGTGTTGAAACTAGACCAGCTCTGAGCGTTCTCTCACTGAGCAAAACCCGCTACGCTTTATGTCACACTGCGTCCCAGGGGAGGCCCCAACATTTTCCTTTCATATTCCACTTCTAACCAAATGTAAGCCCTGTTATTACCAACACTGACTCAACAAACGCATGCATGTCTCATTTTGATGTCAACAGTTTAGATTTTCTGCTCTGTCTAATAAAATAAAGATGGCAGTGGGCAGAAAATGGCTCATAGAATTCAAACTGGGAAGTATACAGAGCTATTCAAGTGGATAAAAAGTGAAGTGCATCTATTGAGAGAGCACAGGGGTCATGAGCAAGTGAAACAGGTGATGCTTCTAGCCCCTGGTGTCACAATATTCACCTTTAGAGGCAATATCCTCTTCTGTGTATTCGACTTCTCCTCAGCGAGGCACCTCCAGCTCACTGCTCTGTTCCCTCTATCCCGTCACACTTCTGCCAGCAATAGCGCATATATCATTCCCTCTTATTCTTCCCTTCAAAACATAAATCTGTATATTTTCGCCTCATACATATAAGATTATTTTTACCTAGTGCAGTGCCCTTCACCCACATTTCCTCAAACCAGCATATTCCCTTTGTCTCTATTCTTATAGCTACAGTACTCCGAGCAGGCTGTGCCAACATTGTGTGCCGCTTCTCTTTACTCTTATTCACTTTTCATGGCAATCATGCTTTTACAGACAACTGTTTTATACACTTCCTGGAGACAATTTAAGTGCGTCAGTCTTTTCAAGATTACCTGCTCTGTTATCCTGTAATCCAAGACTTGTGTGTTTCAAGAAGCTTGTTCAATGGATGCTCATCTGTTGTTGTTGTAGCTACAGCATATGTAGAAATACATTTTGCTAATCTTGTAAATAATGGACTACCAGTCAACCTGACAAAACTGCCTGGTGACCTGATGTGTGTTATTAGTGATGGCCACAATGAGGCAGACCAGGAAGGGTCTTTACTGTGTTGCTAGAACCAGTGTTGTCCTTGACAACGATGTACTTCTGTTTTATGCTACTCTGTGGGAATTCTGTCCATACACCATCTGATTTTAAGTGTGCTTAAAATTTATGCTTTTATGTCTATTTTTTCAATTATATTCTTTAAGACATGGCTAATTATTTCATGGATCAGTGTTAGTGACTTCTGTGTTTCAAGTAAATAATACGGACACTGCACCGAGTTTTTTTTTTTTTTTTTTTTTTTCCTATTAGCCTCCTTCCTATTGTGTACACAAACTATTGGAGCATCCTTTCAATTCAAGGACAAAGCTTTTTCAGTCTATGTTCTTGGTAATCATACAAACTCAAAATTGGGAAACCACTGGCAGAACAAAATGTTTTAAAAGCAGCTTTTGAGGTGAAGAGGTGATCATTGTGAACCAATACAGTTTATTACCGTTTATTTGTAAGATTTTCACTTGCATTGTAATTCTTGTAAAAGAGGATGAAACACTGAAACACAACCCACATACATAAGCTCTCAAGTCACTAAAGCATGGAAAGACAGTGATGTGGTTCATTGCTCACCTTTGCTTGGTTTGATCAATGGCATCGTGCCTTGCCCAAATCCCTCCCACAAACACAAGCTGAATAAACAGACATGGAACATTTACACAGGCTAATCCGCTAATCCATACCTGCTTTCTAACAAACACACACTTAGTGAATCCGCAGCATGATAACCTCACCAACATTATACCAGAGTGAATCGTAAACGCACAACAAACATTTGCATATATGCCATATCTGTGACTTTGGCTCATTATGCATGCTGACCTCCTCTGCGGGATCTGACTTGATAACAGACATAAGGGTTAATAGGGATTAATGGACATTATACACACATACACTCATCACCAAGGCCACACAAGTGCACAACAAGAGCCCCAATGACATCCAGATGAGCGTTTCAAGTGCGTGTTTGTGTTCTCGGCCAAACCACAGAAGTGTGTGCCTCCTCGTGATTAGATAATTGAAGTGTGGAGAAGCTGTATAGAGTTTGTCAAAAGTCCTATTAATGGTGTGCATGTGATTCGCTATAGTGTCATTAACTTGAACTCGTCCATGCAAAGATTTTATCTGCAGGATGAAAAGGAGAAATAACCACATTTGTAATTTTGACCTGACAATTTAATGACCTGTGAAGTGACGCTTTTCTTGTCTGGCCTGACAGACTGCCTTGTTATCACCGGATCTCTTAATTTGCAGCGTAATGTGGACATGGAGGGCTGCAGCTCTCTTTGGCTGTTAACTCTGGCAATGCATTTCACAATTTAGCTTAATACATGATGTAATTTGGTGCTTTGCTTTGTGGGGAAATCACTTCTGTGTTTTAATGCATACTTGAGAGAACATACGAATTAAATTAAAAGTAGTTTTGACAGGCTTTCATAGAATTACCATGGGAATAAACCTCTTGTTGCTCAAGGTTACAGCACGTTTGCAAAGAATCCTCTAGATTAATTTATAAGAAAGTGCTTCATTTTTTTTTTCTTTTACAAGTAGTCTGCAACTAAGGCTCTTGAGAGGACTTTGCATTTATACTTTGTTTTAATTAATTTGCAAAAATAGAACTATGATAACCCAAGGACACAACATGGTAGTTCACATGGGTGGTGACCCTCAAAAGGTAAAAGGTACTTTTAAAACCCCTTTTAATTAATTGATGTAGTTTTAATTTAATGATGGGAAAGTGCACTTTTTTTTCAATCAGAAAGACTAATTATGTTGAGTGCTTTTACCTTTTTGTTCAACCTCCTTTTTGGGGTCAGCACAGCAAAACCTTAGTGTCTATTTATTTGCATATTCTTTCGACATTCATAAAGAATACAAGATGTCCTCCCTGATATAAATATCTCAATTTTCAAATAAGATGTGTTTATGTGCTTGGGATTGGCTCCAAACAACTTGGCATATAATTCTTATGGCTTAGAGTTCTTTCATCTAACAACTGTGATGTCTTTGGGGTTGAATAATGGCTTAATGGCTAATAATAACTTTTTGAAGTTTACGTGTGCTGACAGAGAAGACATGTGTGTTTGCCTGAATTGGCCCAGTAATGACAGAGATGTTAAAACAAAAAAACAAACAAACAAACAAACAAACAAAAACAGGACAAAACATTTGCAAGCTGACAGTTTACAGTCAAATTCCTGCATAGAATTTTGATCTGCCCTCCAGCTCAGTATAGAGATGCTAGAATATTATGATGTTATGTGAACATACTTAGAACTTGTAAAAAAAAATATTCTGGCTTTGTGGCTATAGGATCAAATTATACTGCTACTTGAGTAACAGTATACTGAAGTTCCAAACATAGACTGTATATTTAAATGGACATACAGTAGCTAATGACCTAGCTGCCACACTCCAAATAGAAAGTTCGCATGCAGGTTCTTCTGGCTCCTACTGACCCTGGCTCCCATTGACTTATGCTGGAATATTGTCGCACCTCTCTGTAACTGCTGCTGTGAGCATCGTCATTTTGGTCTTAAAATATTCGGAATAACCTGCTCTACATGATCCTGGACTTTTTTATTTCTTTATTTTGTTCGTTAATCTTAGCTCTTCATTCGTTATCTCTTACATTGCAAATCCTCTCGTTGTAGGTTCGATGGACAAAGACGGCGGGCAGTGCTTCAGACAAGTTCCAGGAGACGTCCATTTACAACGAGACGCTGCGGATCGAAGGCATCCAGAGGGTGCAAGGCGGCCGCTACTACTGCAAGGCTGACAACGGGGTGGGGGTGGCTGCCATCAAGTCCATCCGTGTAGATGTGCAGTGTAAGTGGGCAAGGGAGGAACCAAAAAACTAAGCAAAATACTCCTTCCACTTCTGAGACCCCAGCACTTTCACTATAACACTGTTCCCACCTTTAAGTTCAAAATGAAAAATTTCAGAGGGGGAGATAAAAGATGAGGTGATGAGATTTCAGGTGGGAATGGTTTCCAGGAGTATGTGATGGCTCATATAAAGAGTTTGGGTGAGAGGAGGAAAGAGGAGAGATCAAAAGATTTTTTTTCTTATTTGGTCTGGAATGATACCAAAGCACAACATTTGCTAAAATTTCTGAATCTCTTTGATGGTAATCCTGTAGGTTTATATTTAAGGTGGTTAACATAAGATAAATTCAATCCAGCTACAAATCTTCCATGTATTTCACTTCTGAAAATACACTTCTAAATACAAAGAAAAAATATATATTGAAAAGAAAAAATAATCCGCTTATAAGACGTGTATTGCTGTGGCACTCCTAAAGGACAAGAGCATGAGAATCACATATTCCTGGAGTATAGAAAAGTCTGGGCTAGACTTGAGTGTTTTGATACAGTTAGTCCAGGTGGTACGGGCTCCCTAACCCGCTGTTTCTCAACTAGCCTGTTGTGCCTCTGTATCTGAAACAGACTGCATTCCCTGTGATAGCATACTAATAAATTGTCAGCCCATAATTAAGAGACAACCTTTATTTGTTGCTCTTTTTAGCTTTTCCCAGATGAAATTGAATCCATTAATACAAGTGGAAACAAAGGAATATTGTTGACTTGCTAATTTATATTATGAGCCTCTTTTTGTCATTACCTTCAATTATAAAAACAGCAGTAATTTTTCCCAAGTCAAGAGATTTAACATGCACCAATGTCATCACAGGACACAAGGGAGAAATTCATAACATTTTTAGAATCGTCTGCAATCAAATTAAAAGCTACGCCCGATGACATTGGAGGAGGATTAACAAGACAAAGTGCAGTGCTCAGTAAAGCCAAAACTGCTCTATCACTGTATTTGTGAGGCAGGGCTAATTCATTAAACAGCCATAGAAATGTGAGGAGGAAACGCAGTGTCCTTGATTCATGTTACATCACTTATGCTTAAGACGCTTTTAATACTGTTTTATGCAGCCAAGGTTAGTGTCAATATCTTATGTTTATTTTTTCAACCTGATGCGGTTCCTAAGATACCATCCAGTTAGATCCATGTATGGTGTAATAGCAGAGGCTGAACCTTATCTCCCAGAGGTTACATGATGAACAGGCAATGGTCGAGAAGCAGTGCTGTTGTAGGGGCCCCGTGCCACTGCTTGTTTCACTGCCCCACTGTCTCTGTGAGCCAGGGTCCGGTCAAAGTTATGGCTGGAGTGACATGCACTAATGTGGATTTACTCCTTACTTCTATGTTCTTATAATGCCATGGACTTACTGAGCCTTGGTTTCCCATTAGAAAGCACAGATGGGCAAATCCTGGACAACAACTGCGTGGTTGATATTTGGGGACATAAACTATTAATAAATAACAGTACCATTAATAATTAGTACCATTGCCATAGCGATCAATAGCAATTGAATGGGCAAAAGTCCTCAAATGTTGCATATAACACAAAAAATCCATGAATATGTCACACTTTTAGCACCCACTCAAACATTACACTCAGACAAGCAAGGTAGGTGAAGTCCACTACACATTCTCCCACACCCCAATCAATCAACAATTACCAAATTTTCTATAATTTATTTGTACAAAGTCTTAGTTTCAGTTTTTACCCTTTTCCGATGTGAGTGCTGCTCAGGCCCCTGCTGCGGAGCTAGTCATTTAAGGGCGTATGTAGTAAACAGGTTGTATTGGGCGTGCAGCAGTGACAGGAGTGCTGTGAGGCTAACCAGCTCTGACAGTCAATGCTTGTTCAATTCCCCTTCCCCCCATGCTGCGCTAGCTATCACCAGCGGCAATCAGCCATGCCTTCTACAACATGGGCGACTTTAGAGCAAGAACGATGTAACAATTAGCTGGAGCGACCAAGGATGAAGAAAGACGCAAAGGTCAATGGTAGTAAGGCAAAGCTAAATGAAAGAGTAGTAGTTGTTGAGAAAGCCTAGTGATCTTTCCATAGCTTTTATTAAGTGGTTGCATGTGTTAAGTAGGATTTTCTGGCCTATTCATATCATACAACACCAAGATAAACCTTTCTATTGTGAAGAATTTAAATGCTAAAACAGGTATCTCAGTTTTGAAAAATTATTGAAAAAAAAACAAAAACATTTTGTTACCACCTTCTGTATGTATTATCAATGAAAACAATTTCTAGTGGATTTAATAACAGAGGGATGGATTCATATTTTGATAGCAATAAAAACATTTGGCCTTTGAAAACAATACTATACAAAGAGTAAACGGTAACCCTCACATGGCTTTTTCAAACAAACATAGAACATATCTGTTTTTGTAAATGAATTCTTCAAGTTTAGAAACTACCAGAGTCAAGAGCAAGAATACATATGTTTAATGGGAACTCAAAATATACATTATTTGCCAAGGAAGGTTTCAAATACACATACTTGCTAACCAGAAATATTAAAAAGAAATAATTGGGGAGCTTAACCTCTGCCAGAAAAAATGAATTGATATGCAGTGCTACCACATTTCTCACTCACACAGTGAGGAAAAGTTTTGCATTAGCACAACACAAATCTTATTAGTTATTAGTGTCTTCTTTTTTTTTTTTTTTTTTTTTTTTTTTTGTCATTTTAATCACCAGCCATCTCATTTCATCCTCCACTGATCTATCACTCTTACATGTTTTCTTGTACTGCATGATAAGTCAGGAAGTCTACTGAGCCCCAATTCTTCTCAGATTCATTGCCATACTTATCACATACACTCCTCCCATCATTCTTCATTTGCATGTCACGTTCATATACTCTATTAGCATTTGGTCATGGGGGTACATGTCATGCTACACTTTTAAAAAGAGCACATATAGTCTCCTCATGCACGAGAATACACATCTTCACACATCAAGTATTGAGTGAGAGACCAGAAGAGCTGAAGATGTAAGAGTGACAGGGACAGCGTGATCTAAAAAAGGAGGGAAAATAGCAGAACCGTTTCAAACAGGCATATGTGCAAAACATACATATTTAGGGCTATTTATTGACTTTCATTATCAATCTGGATTTAACAGCAAAATGTCCTCAGCCCAAGCCTCCACCTGAAGTTCCACTTGTGCATTGTGAGGACCAGCCAGCCTCTGACCTGGCACTATGGCCACCGAGACAGTGGGTTAGTGAGCTAGCGGGGTTTAACTTAAAGTAGCCTCTACTGATGAGATGGACTTGGTTCAGATACCCAAATGACTACAAATGATAAAGGAAAACTATTATATGTAGACAAGTTTCAGTGTTGGACAAAACCAGGTAAGTGGCTTAATTTTTATACCATGTAAAGATATATTGACAGCACTTTCAAATGGAATGAAATCTGAAATGGTTATACTTAATTTTAATTTTTAGAAAATGCCCTGAAAACATGGTGCATGATCTCTATGCTATTTTGACATTTGATTGCAGACCCAAAGCTAGGAATGAGACCATACCTTTCCAAATGATTATTGTCTTGGCACGGTTGTGTTGACAGTTCTATGTGGCTGGTGATGCACGTATATGTCATAGGTGGCATTTTAAACTGTCCCCCCTGGGCACAGTCTTCTATCACAACAACAGCTCATTGCTACTGGGGGACACCGGTCTGAGCTGCATCAAGACAAATGTAAATATATATAATATATATACAGGCATTGCTTTATCTACAAACAGATGGTTTATATATGTAATAACAATAAAAGAACTTGCATACTTGATTTTTCCTGATGCTTGATGATCTTGTATTGACAGTGTGTGTTTGCCCCTTTGTTATTGATGATTGCATGTGTGGTTGTATAGGATAAAGCAACATAATTTGCATAAAGGTATGACTGGAGTAATTTGTTTCCAGATTAAGTGGTAGTAGTAGAGGTTGGAGAAATAGAGATTATATCAGTGACTATGTTGACCAAAAAAATCTATACATTATCTGATTTCTGGATTTATTGTATGTGATGAAACACTTACATCTGATTTAAGTAAGTATGTGATCTGATTGTTCAACTCTGTGCAGGTTTTGACAAGGGAAATTATGTAAAAAAGGGAGCGAACAAATGCAGCAAAGCCCTCATTCATCCAGGACTGGTTCAAGACAGAAAAGGTCTTGATTAGGAAACCTCTTGATTTCAAAAACAGTGTCCAGATGACTACCTTTGAAATCTTTTCTAACAAAGACTGAAAGAGTTATTTTTAAATTGTCTTTTAAAATGGTCTTCCAAATGCAAGTTACTCTGTAAATCCACTGATTAATGTCACTGATTAATGTCTTTTGTGCACGTAAACATCTACCAAAATCACATCTATTTATTGGGTTATCTGATTATTCTAGTTATCTGTTTTTTACTGGCTGTGTAAATGTAAGTTTACTGACACTGGCTGTACTGGTTTGCTTGAAGAATATGTTTGTCTTTAGATCTTTGCTCAAATATAAAAGTTCTGGATCAAACCCCAAATGTGTGAAAGCAAAAGAAAATGTCAAAAACAAATGCAGAAATACTAGTCTGGTCGGGGTCTCAGGTTGTGCTAGGTCTGACTCAAATCTCAACTTGATTCAAAATCCTCACAACTTTTTTACTCCCAAACTCAATGTCCCATTCTCTTTGTGACTCCTGGCTCCTGATGTTATATCTTATTACACTGTTTCTCTTTCAATATATTTTTCATTTAGGTTTGTGTTTGAGTAGGGGACTTCATTACTTCCGCATCTGTTTTTGTTTTTCCTCTTTCGCTGGGTCTGGTCTCAGAAGGATTTTTCTTATAAACTTTTCCTTCACTTTTATTATGTCTCAAACTTGACAATGAGGTGAACTCGATGTATCCATGGAGCAGTGGTAATAGTAATAGTGTTTACATCATCTTTGTACATAAAA